CGCTGACCTTGCCGGCCATCTTCACCTCCATGCTCTTGTGCATGTGAGACTTGTAGCCCAGCAGCTTGGCGATGTCGTCCCTGGCAGAATGTCAATCAGCGGCGGGTCAGAGGGAGACGGCGGCGACATCGGCAAGCGACGAGGCCTAGACCAGGTGACAGCGACGAGCGACGGCGGCGACATCGGCACAGCGGCGAGGCCTAGACCGAGTGACAGCGGCGAGCGACGGCGGCGACATAAGTGCAGCGACGAGGCCTAGACTAAGTGACAGCGACGAGCGACGGCGGCGACATAAGTGCAGCGACGAGGCCTAGACCAAGTGACAGCGGCGAGCGACGGCGGCGACATAAGTGCAGCGACGAGGCCTAGACTAAGTGACAGCGACGAGCGACGGCAGCGACATAAGCACAGCGACGGGCGACGGCGGCGACATAGGCACAGTGACGGGCGACGGCGGTGACGTCTCGTTTGATCCGGGTGGTCTGCCACCCCCAGCTGAAACGGGCGGTTTGCCTGCCTCTCAGCTGACCGGGTGGCCCGCCGCTCTCCCCCCCCCCCCCCCCCCCCCCCCCCAGCTAAAACGGGTGATCTGCAGGCTTCCCAGCTGACCCGCATGGTCTGCCGGCCTTCAAGCTGACCCGGTGGTCCCCAACATCTCGCTTGGGCCAGCATAACCCTCGCGACCCCTGCCGCCGCTTACTTGGCCCAGCGGATCTCCTCGGAGCAGGTGCTGTTGCTGAGGTCGCGGTTGAAGTTGGAGCAGCGCATCTCGTGTGCCAGCCACACGTTGAGCCTCTGGGCGGCGCTGGGACAGTGGCGCAGGAAGGCGGCGTACACGTCCGGCTCGAACGTCACCTGCCACGGGCCGCGGCTCGGGTCCGACCTGGCCGGCGGGGGGTCAGGTCAGGTCAGGTCAGGTCAGGTCAGGTCAGGTCAGGTCAGGTCAGGTCACGGCACCGGCCAGACAGCGCGGACCGCCGACTCACGCCGCCGAGGCGGGCGAGTCCTGGTCACCCGCCGGCGCTACACAGCGGGACACGGGCTGGCAGGAGCGCTGAATCGGCCCCGGTCGGCCAGGTCACGGCCATCCAGAGGCGCCGGTGAGGGAGCAGTTAGCGGCGAGGAGCGGCTAGAGTCAGCTGACAACAGACGGCGACGCCCTGACAGTGACAACAGGTGCCATACAGGCTATTCAAAGTACATGAAGGTGATAGCAACTGCACTATGGCTCCTGTTACATGTAGCATATTTGCATTTCACCAGCACGGTGTCTAGTCTGGGATACGTTGGACTGTGACAATCTTTACAACACCAGCAGTTTCTAATTAGTGACCAAAGAAAGTCCCACTGCTGAGCTACCTCCTCAGCTTCCCCAGCTTCCTATCAAAACCTGGAGCACATGCAGCCAGCACAGCTTCATCTGCCGCTGTCACAACGCTTCTAGGTGTGACCAGTCAATTTCGTGCCCGGGCCCTCTCCCCCGACCACGGCGCGCCGTCCGTCCATCCGTCGGAGAACGCTCAACTCACGGGTCCTGCGCCATCCTTCTCAGAATCGGCTCGGGCACGCCCCGCACCAGGTCGTACTCGTCCACCGGGTGTCTCAACTCACGGGTCCTGCGCCATCTTTCTCAGAATCGGCTCCGGCACGCCCCGCACCAGGTCGTACTCGTCCACCGGGTGTCGGAACAGCTCGTCCGCCGCCCGCACCCGACCTGCGGGCACGTGCGGCCGCGGCCGTGTCGGTGGGAAGGCGGCGGAGCAAGGTCGGCGCTGGGTGTGGCAGCACGCTGCAAGGCGTCGCATCAACTGGCACAAGCCAAACTGCTGTTGGAGTTGTACCTCCTCGAGAAGCGCGAGACGGAAGACCAGACCAGATCAGAATTCGGGAGACCAGACCAGACGATGCTGACACATGACGCATGAGCACCACGATGCATCAACAGCACGGCCAGGAGGGGCTACTCCGCTTCCGCGCGCTAGCCAACCACACCGCTGAGCAGCTCCGCATGGCGGTAACCTGCCGTCCCCGCACCCACTGGCAAGGCAGCACGATACTCGCCGTCGTCGTCGCGGGCCTGCCGCCGACCTCACCGATAAACTGCGCCTGCTCCCGCCTCAGGCGGCTGGAGTGCAGCTTGAACTTGCGCAGATCGCTGCCGCGCAGCTCCAGGCCGTTGAGGCGCCCGTCGCGCACGTACTTCTGCTGCCACGCGACCCTGCTCCTCTGACTAGCAGGTGCTGGTCCGACTGCAGCTCCTGCCGCCGACACGTCATGTCGGCGGGGTGAGATGGGAGGGGGGGGGGGGGGCGTGACGCCGCGCCGACCCTCCCACCGAGCAGCGGCGCCGGACAAGACAGCGGCGCTGCATGTGACCACTTCCTTCCGATTGGCTGTTTGGTTGGTGTCATCTTCGAAGCATGCAACAAGCCTGTTAACACAAATTCGCACAGGCTTTTGACTACTGTCACTCGATTTCATAGCTGGGTAGCCCCTCTCTACAGTGTGTTTCATTCACGCAGCGGCGGGCAATGTCTACATCCGCAGCGCCGCCGAGACTTTTTAAGCCACCACAAAAGCTGCTCTACTTTCGCTCCCACAGCAAACCAGCAAAAGGACGGTTGTGGCAGAGCAAAACCAATAAGGCCAGTGACCACAGCCAGCTGGTCTGATTCGTCACCCACTTCATGTGCTAAATGCAAGTTACATGAAACAAATTTTACTCCACATATTTAAATACTTCCATTTGCATATTAAAATGATGGCATTCAGGGTTTGAAAAATACTTTTTGGGTTCCAATCCTGACTCAGAGTTTGAATTCTTCTTTCCATGATTCAAGGGTTCACTTTTATTTGGGTAACTTTAAACCCTGTGAGTCATCAGCTCCAGCACCCAGCCTCACCAGGCAGGCTCGGTAGATGGCTGGGTTGTTATACTTTGAGACGTGCGCCTTGGCTGCTGACGTGTGGATCTGCTGGAATACGCGTGGGTGAACCATGCTCTGGTTGGTGGTGTACAGGTTCTTCACGGTCGACCACACGTAGCTGAACGGCACTTCCCGGCGCTCGATCGGCCCGATGACGTCATCGAAGGTGATGGGTGCCTCGCTGCTGAGCAGCTTACTGGTGCCTACCAGACAAGCATGAGTCAGAGATCAGGGGTCAGGGATCAAGGTTGATGGGTCAGGGGTGAGGAGCAAGGGTTCATGGTTCAGGGGTCAGAGGTCAGATATCAGGGGGTGGAGGTCAGAGGGTGGAGGTGAGAGGTGAGAAGTGAGAGGTCAGGGGTCAGGGGTCAGGGATCTAACATCAAACAGTTGGTGGTAGCATCACAGCTGTGCCTTTGGTAGCTTGAGGCTCAGTCAAGACAGGAAGCCAATATGGATGGCATGAATTTTCCCTGCTGTTCTAGGTCCCTTGTACTTTTTGTTTCTTAACTTGTGGGTGAAGCTTTTGACTGGATGGATTTAAGAGTTCACAGCCTTTATCACGCTATGCTCATTGTGTGAGCCTTAACCACACCATCTTATCACAAAATTTCAGACAAATGGCAGACTCTTGCAGCCACAACACAGCATGCCCCAATAATAGCAAGATTGATCCTACCCATGGCATCATGGGACCTCAAGCGCAGCTGCTACTGGCATCTGGCACAGGCCATCCCAGTTAGAGGTCAACATTGAGCCTAAAGCAACTCAAACCTTCCTCACCACAGGAAGATGAATCAGAGCCAGCAGTGGTCATGCCATGCCATGTCATGTCATGTCAACAGCAGCCATGGCCTCTAAACACCTGAGCTACCAGATGGATGACAATGGGGACATAGCATTCTTGTTGCATGCTTGCATAGAATGTGATGCTGCTCACACAGCATATTGAATGGCATATGTTCAACTATATGCAATGTTTTCAAAAGGCACAGCCTCAGTCTACATCATGTATTCAACATACTGTGAACGTAATGAGCAATTAGTGGCTAATTAATCAAATTTAACATGTAGTGGTACAAACTTGACTGCAAATGGCATAAATAAACAGAATTTATTTTTGAAAAACATCTGCGCAAGCATCTGACAGCAGCACAGTGGCCTGTTTGGCAGCTCGGATGCTACCAGCAACAAATGTCAGTCACAGAGCTGATTGGAGCTGCCAGATTGCAGCAGCCATGGATCACAGACTGTACCTTCCAAGGTATCACCATAGCATGCCATGTCATATTCAAACTGATAGGCCAGCTTGAGAACAGCATCATGGCACTTCAGGGGTGTTAAGTCAGAGTACTTTGGAGGCTCATCAGTCCTCAACAGTGAGTTTGTTTCTGGTGTGTCCTCAGGAACCTCTGGAAAACTGTAAATGCAAGACACATAAGTGTGAAACTTGCCTCCTTTGATCTGCAATCATGGAAGCAAACACATTTGCTAGGCACAAAAGGGTACTGACAACTGGATTTAAAGCTTTATTGCTGTATTATCATAACATAAACTCAAGCGTGACCTGCTGCCTTGGAATACATTCATGTTGATTGAGCTATGAGTTTAAATGTTTGAGTGCACAGCTGAAAAATTGCACAAGGGCTTTGGCAAAAAGCCAGAACCTGATATGGCTGATTACGATGTAAAGGAAGCGACAATCCAATAAATATTGGCAGAAACCGATAACGCGGAAATCAGTATCATGTATGGTTAGCAGCTGGAACATGGGAAATTTAACAGCACAGAGATTGGATTTGGCGTGATACTTACAGCACATATGTGCTTATCCTCCTTAAAGGGCTAAACCTGCTGAGGCGTAGCAGCGACATCGCCATGCCGGCGAGTACACGGGCTTAGGGCGCCACACAAGCTGATGCAAAATACACGAAGACTGGGAGCAGCCATGTTTAATTAAATCGGCTTAATAGACTGCCTTCCATTCATTTGACGTCATTTGCTGGTAAAGTTAAGTTGAAGCCGGTATTCGGGCTCTGAGACTGGTCTTATTAGTATTCACCCACTGTTGATAGCCCCAAAATTATATCTTGCAGCAATTTTCTGGTGTCTAAGTTGTCAGTTTGTGTAAGCTTTCCTAAATTTGGCAATTCGGATCACTTGTTACTTGTGGGCATCCTGCGCTATGTAGTGTTTTGGCTTGCATTCCAAACGGTATACCAGCTCAGGAACCCAGGTATGTCCGCCTCTGGTTCACGTTTCACTTGGTTGATAGCGTGTTCAACGTAGCTTTGGACTGAGGACGAACCGATGGCACCAAAACTAGCACCATTATATTCTGATACAAAATAACAGGTTGGAGCGTAAAGTGGATATAATCGCAAGATAAGGCAAAAGGCAATCGCAAGGAATCCTGGTTCTAGGACCATGGGCGTAGGGACGTTTCAAAAGGGGGGCGGGGCACGTTCAGGGCGTACTTCAGGAAGTACGGCGGGAAAAGGGGTAGAGATGGAGGTTGTTATCGCTCTTTATCCAAATGTAATGGCTGCTATGCTAAATATGCATCTAGTGCTGTTTCTAACTGGTGCACAGTCTTGTCTATGCGGCTCATCTATGACATTCGGAAAATAAAGCTATCCAGCTTCCCAAGATAATCCGTTCATTTCAGCGTTGTCTTTCCTGGGGAGGCGAAGTTTCACGAGCGGGTAGGCACTTTAGGTCATTGAGGAGGCGTCTGCCTCTACAGCGTAGACGCCAAAATACGGCCGGGACATAGGCTGATAAGAGTTTTGGAAGTGAATCGATGGCCCATAATGCGACAGATTTTGCATGCGTCTTTATTCCGCTGGCTGCTTTTCAAGAAATAAGACTTGTCGTAGCATTTTAGGCGGAAGCAAATTCGGAAGCTTGAAACTGCCAAGAACAATGTGAAAATTATTTAATACTGGAGATTCGACTTTAAAGCCAGGCCATAGAATGGAGGCCCTTCTGTGCTACATTCCTTATCTGGGCCCTGCTCCCGTCCGCCGTCGGCGTTTGCTGTCCTGGCCCGGCTGTCTCCCGCATGACTTGCTGTGAACTGATTGTATGGCTGCTTTGTTGCATATTTCTGAATCAGCATTACCCTAATTTATGTGTAAAACACATATTGGACACATGCAACGGAACGTTTTTCCGACTTACCTCCCCTTACACCACAACACTGCTAAAAAAAAACCCGGGAAGCTGCCTGACATAGGCATGAATTGACTCAACGGACATTTGATTGTCCGTCATTCAACGTAGACGACTTAATCTGCTTTTGTGTGTAGGCAGGGGCGTAGCCAGAGCCTTACCAGGGGGAACACTGGGTCGACAAAGGTCCGTCCCTTCCCCCCCCCCCAAAAAAAAATCCCCGGATATAGCTTACTTGTCGACAAGGGCACGGTTTTCTACTTTTAGCCGTGGCCTGCCGGGGAACGAAAATGATGATGCTTCTAAATGATTACCTTTAAACACTTGAATCGATTAGTGATACAAGTTAGGTGACGTAGTTTTGGGCATACGCACTCGCAAATATTAGTACCAAAAACCTCGACGCCTGGCGTTGCAGTTTCTGTAGGCCGCGCGGTGTCTGCTCAGCAGCCAATACTGAGCAGCGGCCAACGGATGAGCGAAAATGATGGCGCTTCTGGAAGCAGTGGCTTAAGTCGCTTCAGGACATCAAATCTTATACATAGGAGGTAGTCTGGGCGCCTATTTCACGTGTGCGTGGTGGAAATGGAAAAGCAGAGGTAGGCTATTCATTTTTATTGTTTCCGTAACTATTCATCTGTCCAAAAAAACAGCACGGAAGCTGCGGCCCAGGCTGCTGCTGTTCTCGCTCTCAAGGTTGCGGGCGGGCATGTGCAAACCTGTTGATGTAATTCGTTTCACTAATCCATGCTGAAAAATAGATGTTCTCAGGCAAACATGGGATGGCCTTGTTGTTTTTTGTGCTCATTTCGACCTACTCTATTCAACAATAATGAAACCCCACTCTACTCAACAATAATGAGACCTCTCATTCCCTTCCGGGCAAGGGGTCGCTTGAGTAGGAGACCAGGGGCATATTACCGTTTCCAGCCAAGGGCTGATGGGCCATTCCGTCCCATCGTGAAGTGTCTTCTGCGTGTCATTCTGGCGACACGGGCAGTGACCCGCACAGTTGGCACCGGATCAGCACAGGAACCCTCATCGACGCATCAACATCCCTGATCGCCGCAGGTGGTCCAATAATTGTTACATGGACTT